AGAAATCATGTGGGCTCTGCCCGCGCAGGTTCGAATCCTGCCGCTCACGATTTTTCAATAATAAAAATTCGCCGGCGAAACCTTACGATGGGTGGAAAAAAACGGAGCCATTTTAAAATTATTTTCTAAAAATTGGGAATCAAAGGGTCATTTTTTGAAATTTTAAAACTAAATAGAAAACTATCACCTAATTTAAGGGACTAAAAATGTATTTTAGTCTGGAACAATTATTAAAAATACTATTTTGGTGATGTACTTTCCACTTTATATTATTTTAGTATTATTTTAGTTTTCATACATTTGAAATGTTTGTTTTGGTTCTTGTACTTTTAAAACGTGACTAGTTTGATTTCTATTTGCAAAATTTTAACACAAATTTTACGCATAACGTGAACCCTATAAAATAAAGTCTTAGTTACATTTGAAGAAATATATTGATCATAGTGTCGTGTGGAAGTTGTGATGAAAAAGAGATTAAAAATAAAATTAAGAGACCAAAAAAGTCACTTTTTAAAAGTATATGGCCAAAATGAACATTTTGAAAGTAAGATACTAAAATGTACAGGATTCAAAATGAAAATTTTGAAAGTATAGGAACCTAAATGAACAAAAACTGAAAATATATTGACTCAAATATCGACGCAAGAGATATTTCATTTTTGAGAAAAATAAAAATATATCTTAAATTTCGTATTATGTATCAATTTTCATCTATATTAATTGACTTAGTGAAGTGATAGATTTTTACCTTCATTTCAATTTACACTTGTTTTACTTACTTATTCTAATAAATTGTAAGGTAAATGTATTCTTAAACTCACTAATGACTTTTCAAATGAAAGTTTATCAAACCTAAAAATTACAACATTTATTAAAGTTTAAGGTAAATATTACAACACTTATATAAATTTAAGGATTAAATTTGATGAAATGAAAAGTTGAAAGAAACAGATAAACTTACCAAATTTAGCAATAAAAATTGATTTTCTCCTTTATTTTCAAGTACATGATCTAATTTAATATCGAGAAAGTTTGAAAATCCTTGCGGTTGATCAAGAAATCTAAATTATCGGCCATTTTTCTTCTCGACAACCTCATAAACATTTGAAAAATGTATTAGTTTTTATCGAGGGTATACCTAGAGAAATTATTCATTTGAAAAATAATACATTTATAATAAATATTTCAAACCTCTAAAAAAAATATGTCATTTATGGAAAGTTTTCAGAAAACTTTAAAATAAAAGAAAATATAAATGAATGAATAAATAATACATTAATAATAAATATTTAAAACTTCTAAAACATTACGGGATGTTTGGTGCATGGAATAAGTTTATTAAGTCCCTGTATTTGGTTAAAATAAGTTTACTGAGTCTGTTTGTTAAATTTGTGTTTGGTTCCTCTTAAATTTGTTAAGTTTGTATTTTATATTTTGTTAAACTGACTTTATTAAACTTGTATTCGGTTGTTTGAGTTTTAATTTTCTTTTAAAAAATATAATTTATAAACTAATTATTTAATTTAAATAATTAAAATTACATTTAAATTATTTTACAAAAGGAAATACTATTTTAAGGATATATAAAATACTTTTAATATATTTGTCTATCTAATTTTTTTTCCAAGGATTAATTTTTAAAATAAATGTTCAATTATCTATGAAAATACTTTAAAAATATTTATCAAGTTTAAATAAAAGCATACAAATTCATTCGACATAAATTTTATCATAGAGAAAATGTTATCAACCATGTATTTAATTTTTCACTATTTAATATTTAAGTAAATTTGATTACTTAATTATTCTAAAAAAAGTTATTAGTTAATTATCATCAACCTTACTATTAAATTTCACTTTCTTTTTTATTTGACAATTACGTTTTATTACAAAGCAAAAATCTTTTAAATAATAATTGTTTAAAAACTATTAACTTTATAAGTTAAAAAAAGATATAAGATTAAAATAAATAATTATACATAATTATAATGTTTTTCGTTAATTATACAAATGACTTTTACATTTTCACAAAATACATGAGAATACTTACATTTTATAGACCTTTATATGGTTCACCATCNAAAAATCTTCCAGGATCATTTAGAAAAAAAAAACTAGATAAAAAAGTGTCAATATATAAACTAATTATTTATTACATGTAATTTTTAATAAAATTAATTTACTTATTTATAATATTTATAATTATAATTAATTAATTTCCTAATTTATTTAATATATTTAATTAAAAAAATAAATGCAATAAAGACAAAATATATATTTTACCAACTTGGGGAGTTAGGATAAAGTATTGTAGCAACCTGAGGGGTATAATAGTAATTACTGTTATAATCTGAGGAATGAAATAGTATTTACTGCAGCAAATTTGGGTTTATAAAACTGTGAAACAAACGAACAAACCGCACTCGCTGTTTTGAAAACGGGGAACCAAGTACCCCTATATTATACAGGGAAGGTTTTCAAAAAAACTTTAAAATAAAAAATATATAAATGAATAAAATAATACATTTATAATAAAACTCTCAAGAGTGGTTTAGGATCTTGTATCCTTGAAATCATGAATTCAGATATTAAAATTTAAAATTTTGATTTTTAGTTAACATAATCAAATTTTCGAATTTGTAAAACATACCAAAAACATATTCTTTTTTAGTAGAAAGTTGAAATTTGAATAGATTTTTGGGTAAAGAATTTTTCAAATTTGAACCAAATTTAAATTGATTACTTTCGTAGATTTTCAATTAAGTTTTTGAAATTTTAAAATAGAATTTGAAATTGATTTGTTTCTATTTTTAAGTCTGATTTTCATTTAAAGATTACGGACTTCTCTCTCTAAAAAAAGGTCAGTCACCACGCACCTCCTCATCTTCTTTCTACGAACCTTGCCTCGGTCGCAATCCAATCGGCCCCAGTAAATCGAACTCCGACGGCGACGGCGACGGCGACGGTGGAACGCGGCGGCGACCAACCGACGTTCAGACCCGAATCTCCCTCCATTCTGTCGACATTCTCTATATAGGTGAGTGAGGTGGTTAAAAATCTTTTTTCTTTTTGATGTTCATCTTGACTGAAGTTGGGGCTGTAAATTGGTAGATTTTGAGGCTGTTTTCGGTGTTATGATTTTGGGACTACTTTCGTTGTTCGTTGGCTGAAAATTGGATTGAAAATTAGACATTTGGGATTTTTTCCATGTGAGGTTTTGCTTAAAATTTGTAGAGAGCTGGTTGCATTATGACATTATGAGTATTCTTCAGTGTATTTATTTTAATCGACGCCTTCCCATCTGCCTGGATATTTAGGTAACTTTGCAGTCAGTAATATAATAAAAAATATGTAGACTTGAGATTATGTACCTTACTTTAATTAATTTATTCAAAAAATTTTCTTTTGATGTTCATAGATTCTTTCTGGAAAATGCATCAGCATCAATCATACATAACATCCCTTTGTTTAACTTTTTCCTTATCCTTAGTATATGCAGATGTCCATATTACGTTGTGAGAAAAAAACAGTGCAGGGGTATAATAAGACGATGAGAAATCGACTGATTAAATAAGCATGTTGACTCTTGCCTTTACTTTGCTTATAGTAGAGCATGATTAATTATATATAGCTAATTTAGTATTTGTTGATGGGTTGGGAATAACATATCCGTGGGTTAGGCTTAAGAGAAGTTAGAGTCTTAATACTAAACTCATATTTGATCTCATACCATAACAGACTGATCTTCTAGTTTCCACCGGGAAAATTATAAAAATATTAAGAAAGGCTAGTTTTATGCTCCATCTGTGAGTGAATTCTGATCAGTTGAAAATTTAGAATGTTTTCTTGGTTCTTTCATTTTTTTTTTTTATTTATTTGTTCCTGCCATGTAGTATCATTTTTCTTTTCCAAATATTTATTTTTTCAGATGATGACAAATTCTGCTGAAAAGATCAGAATGGCTGAACATCTTAACATTGTTTTTTTAAATTATTAAATAAGAACAAAGATGCAGTATGAAAAAAAGGATAACATTCTTTATTATGGTTTGGTTGAAGAGAAGGTTGCATTAGCTTCAAGTTCTTGTCTCTATACTTTTTTTAATTTGTGTCAAATGTGAGATTGATTAACTCTGATTCATTGGGAGCACATTATTTTTTTATATAGAAAACCAACTTAAGATTATAATTTGGAGCTTTTATCAAATATTAAATCTCATAAATCTTCTCTTCGTTTTCTCAAAACAGGAGAGAGGGATTCTGAAGGATTGATTGAAGCTGAAGATATTTGTTTTTGAGTTGCTTTCTGGGAAAAGAAAAAAAAGTGGTGCAAAGATTATCACAGGTTTGCCGAGTCTTGAAGGTTGGTTCTTGATGTTGCTTTCTTTTCTCTCTGTTTGGTTTTTTTTCCCTCTTGGATGCTTTTGAAGTTTGAATAGATTAGTGGAAAGCAAAAACAATTTGAGGGTATGTTTATAAGTGTTTTCTGTTGAAAATTGTTTTGATTGAGTTGCTATTCTGAATTGCACAAGGACTAAATACAACTTCGTGGTGCTGCTATCATAAACCTTTCTTGTTAAAATGTGCAAAATTGGCACTTTAATTAGAAGTTTTTATTTCGTACAATCTCAAAAGATACTATGAGTGTTGTCGGAGATGAGAACATGCCTTTATTGTCATGATTGTAATGTACTATAGAATTATTGCCTAAATGGTCTTTAACTTTTGCTTTTACCCCCCTTATTTCAGTTTGAATAAACACGTCTTCCTCTAGAGAAAGCATATGAGTTGTTTGATGAGAATAGAAGCTGTTTGATGGGGGGCATATGAATTGTTTGGATCATCTTCCAATGTTCGGGATCTTGAGCGGCGTTGTAATGAGTCAGAACAACATCTTCAAGAACTTGAACAACAGAGGAAAGTTGATGTACAAGGATTCAAAGATCAAATTATTGAATTAAAAATTTGTTTTGAGCATCGATTTCAAATAATTATGGTTGAGATGAAGAGAGTAAACTCGGTTGTCTCGAGGCCTGATGTTTCCGATCAGCGTCATTCATTAGTATCCAGAAAGCTCAGAGACGACCTCTTCTCCGCCATCACCACCAAATATGCAACCGACGGCAGCAACCCCTCGTTGCCTTTCCCCTCCGAGAAGCTCAAGTCCGATGTCGAGCGGCGGCTTCATGAGTATCTCCCCTCCTTCCACACTCCTACTCACCTTCCATATGCCTCGGTAATTGTCTTTCGACTTTCACGTTGCTCATTTTTCTTAGATTAACATTATGGAGTTATCTATTTTTGTTTGTTTTCTTTTCTAAAATTTAAACTGGGGGGATTTTTTCTGTACATTATGGTTGGAATTTCAGCAATTGATGTTTATGAGTTTAAATTTTTGGGAATGTAGATGATACAGAGGGCAATAGCTGAAGTGGGAGAGGAAGATGGGTTGAGCGAGGAGTCTATTTCGGATTTTATCGTGAATGAATATGAGGATTTGCCATGGGCGCATGCAGCTCTTTTGCGTCGCCATTTGGGGAAGCTTTGTGAAAGTGGGGAGCTTGTGAAATCGAAATGTGGGAGATATAACTTTGAGGTGGAGGATAAAGGAGTTAAAAGGAAGAGACGGCGGAGAAAGTCAGTGGGAAGGAGTCGGTACCGAGGAGTGGAGAGTACAGATGATATTGAAGAAGATCTTGATGGGAAAGAGCAATCAAAGAAATTGAAAATCATAGGACCCCGAGCAGTGGAGGTAGTTACAAGTAAAGGGACTGAAGAACAAAATGGTTTGCTGAGAGAAGAAATTGGTGGGGTTGAAGATGGAGATCAAGCAGAAGGAGGCCAAGTTGAAGGGCTAGGTGAACTGAAAGAAGTTCAAGAAGATGAAATGATAGACGAGTGTCTTGAAGAGGAAATCAAGATTAACGATGGGCCAGAAGACTTTGATTGGCAGATGCAATCACAGAATCTGGTGGTATTAGGTCTTTGTGCGCCAGGAAATATTAAAGAGATTGAACAACAAAGTGGTTCGTTGGGGAAACAAGTTCGCAGGGCTGAAGAAAGAGATCACATGAAAGGAGGCCAACTTCGAGAAGATGTAACAATTGACCGATGTTGTGAAAAGGAAGTCGAGTGTAGAGATGGGGTTCAAGATTTTGATAAGAAAAAGCGATCACAGAATCTGGCTACGGAGCTCTGCGCAAAGGAGACACTATTGAGGGAAGGGACTGAAGAAAAATGTGGTTTGTCGAGAGAAGAAATTGATGTAGCCGAAGAAGGAGGTCACACACAAAAAAGCCAATTTATAATGATATATGAACTTAAAGAAGTTGGAAATGTTGGGTTGATTAATGGTCATCACGAAGTGAAAAGTAAGAGTAGAGATGGGGCTGAAGATTTTGGTGGGAAAGAACAACTGCAGGATCTTGTGGTTGTTGGACTCCATGTAGGAGAGGCACCAACAACTAAAGGGACTGAAGAACAATGCAGTTCATTAAGAGAAAAAATTGATGGGACTGAAGGAGATGGTGCACAAGTAGGCCAAACTGAAGTGCTAGATAAACTCAAAGAAGTTCAAGAAGTTGAAATGATTAAAAACTATCATGAGGAGGAAGGACAAAGAGTAGTGATGGAAGAACCAACTGAGGTACTACATATTATTCATCTTATGCAGCCTTTGCAGGTTACTATTTTGTTACTTGCTTTTGACACTCATTTTGACTGATCTAGCTAAGTATCCTGATTGTTGTTACATAAACCGATTATTTCTAGCAAGTTTCATCAATGGGGTATTCTATTGTCAAACACAAAAACTAGTCACATTATTATTATGTATTCATTATACAATAACTGAAACAGTAGATTTCCACCCCTCTTATTTAGCTCTTCTTGTTTCATCACCCACTGCTGGTAGTTTCCAGGTCGGTGCATGTTTGGAGATGAAGCAGAATAATCCCTCTCCTCGTTGTACTTCAAAAAAATGTAAAGTGTGGTTCTATGAAAATAATGTTTTGTTAATTTAGGAAGCTTTTTAAGTTTCATTTCTAGTGTATCATCAGCAGGTGTTATTTAGATTACATTACTTTCTCTGTAGTTGTAAACATTATTTTCTTTGGAGTTGACATTTATTTTTCTACTGATTTGAGTATTCGTGTCTATCAAATCTTTGAATTATAATGTAGAGACCATACGGGGGATCAAACGTAGAAGAGTTACCTAGTGAAGAAGCCACTTTGGAGTTCTTTGATGCTATGCCTAACCATGCCAATGCTGAAGAAACTTTACTGATTGATGCTCAATGTTGCAAGAAGTTACGAGAGGAAAATGAAAATTTGGAGTTTTTTGATGCAAAGTCTGACCACGGCAATGATGAGGCGAATGGAATGATTGATGACCAATCCTCGAAGGGGAAGGTACCAAGCGAAGTGAATGATCAACAAAATAGACTGCAAGAACAACTGCTATCAAAGCATCAGACCGATACACTGAAGCATGCAGAGCAAGGGGCACCTAGCACATCTGAGGCACATATTATTTGTGGTGACAAGAGTCAACCTGGTCGGGGACGTCGTGGTC